AAATAATAAAATATATAAAGAAATCAAAATAAAATAATAAGTCAAACTCCTCGATCAAGATCTTCCTAAACCTTGTTGAAAGTTAAGCTATGCTTTGACATAATTTTTTAAACTAGAAAAGAAGAAAATAAAACTCTAGATGTGGCTTCTCTAGATGCCAAATCTAATTTTAGAGACTCTTATTTACATTAGAAATAAAATAGAAATGTTTAGTAACTAGGACATTAGAAATAAAATAGAAATGTTTAGTAAGTAGGATAGTAGCACTGAAAAAGTAATTTTATTTTTTTCTTTCTTCCCGCATAATTTATCAGATAGGGATCGGAGCCTCAATCAAGGTGCGAAACCCTGCATAATTATGTTTTTGTGCCGTACTGACCAGGGGTTGCAACCTGGTCCAGGGTGCGGAACCCTCCTTGTTTCTGTTTTTCCTTTGCGCGGGTCAAAGACAACTTCACGAATTTTGCCCTTAATAAAAAATGGAGAAATCCAACTTGGGCCTTCAAACTTCCAAATTTAATCCTTGGATCCTCATCTTTCTAACTCTTTGCATGCAAGTCATTTTCGTCTAATTCTCTCCATTTAACGTCAAACCTTCTATTACCACAAAATTTTCACAACATGAATAAAATGAACAATTATAAAATTACTTATAAAAAAATACAACTCTTAAACCCATAATTCTACAAATATCAATGATTAAACACATTTTAAATATGCATTTTCAAGCTTGCATCACACAGAAAACAAAGCAACCATCTTTTCATTGAGCCAACCTGCAGAGTGGTTGTGAGGAAAGGATTGGTATGGACCAGGAGGATAGCCCATTCAGTTATCTCTGTATCCAGGCTGGGGTGGTCTGGAAGTGTAGAAGCTATTTCCACTCACCATTGGAGGTTCAGAACCCTGTGTACCAATCCTTGTTGGGTTCAGTTCGTCCAGACGAGGTGCATATTGCTGCATTGCTAATGTGCTTGTCAAGAAAGACGAATCGGCTAGAGAACCAAAACGCCCATAAGTAGATGACAGGGACCCAATCTGGCTATATCCAGGATTATAACCTGCCTGATAATTTGCTTGAGTAAATGAAACAGGGTGTTGCCCATGTAGGTGAACCTGTAAGTGTAGGTTAGAGTCCTTCTGGCTCTCAGGATCAAATAGTATATGATGCGTAGCCAATTTTGTCTGCACCACCTCTCATGTGTCTGGTAAATTGTTCACCATAGTTCATGTCTGCAGAAATTCTTCAGTTCCAACTTAACTAGGCTCATTTTACACACTGTATCTTCACAGGAATATGTTGAATGGTTTGAAATGAAGAAAGCCCACATCTTAAAAGAACAAGAAAATAAGTAGATTTATACATGTTTACCTTCTTTCTATAATTATTTATAAAAATTTAAAACTTAAGGCCTATGGATTTTGAGTTTAGACTTGGCCCTTTTATATTATTATTTAGATAGCATTTTGAAGTTTTGACTTGCCAAAAAAATTTTATTTTTTTAAATTAATTTTGAATCTTTATTTTAATTTAATTTTTCAAAGTTGAAAAGATATTTGAAAATTAGATACCATTGTTGGCAATTAAAAGACATTTTTTTCATAATAATGTTTTTATATAAGAATACATTCTTTTTATTAATGTTTTTCTATAGAAACACATATCCCTACATTTAGTGTCCATTCGTCCGATCATTACAAAAAAATTCAATTGTGATGCTTTTTTTTAACAGAAATCATCATAATAAAAGGC